AAAGTTTTAACTTTTTTTTAGCATTTTTTGCTGTACCAAAAAACTACAAGCGAGTTGCAGCACCACTGTTTGAGTTGTATGACAATGCTCAAGGCTATGGACCTATTATTTCCAGTCTTCCTCAGGCCTTGAGTAGGTGAGTCACATACAAAGTATACATAGATAATTTTGAACTGTTTTGTGTGTGTGTGTGTGTGCTAGGATGTACTAGTAGTTCTTACATTCATGGACAGCTTTTTATGATACTTCTGTACATTTAATTTTAATTACTGGTGTGCAAATTAATAATTTTGGAGACAATTTTTGTTCTTTGATATTGTTTTTTTTTTCCTGGAATAAAAAAAAAACTAGTCTGATTGAAGTTATTACAGAAACCAGAAAAATAGTTAAGTTATATAATTAAGATTTATCATCAGAAATAATACAGATTTATTAAGGGAATTTTAGAAACTCACTGGTTGGATTAGAAAAAGTTAATGAGTTGTTTATTTTTTAAGCTTTAAGATATTATCACTTTTTAGGCATATTGTTCAAAGAATAGAAGAACTTTTTTAACAATTGTATAAAGTCATCTTCAAGTTAAGAATCCAGATTGAGACTAAACCAGTAGCATAAGTATACCCCTGCTATTGTATGTGGGGGCTGAAGGACCTAACAAACTTAATAATTGCCAACAAAGGTAGAGACATTCAAATTTATTTTTTCGAACTAAAGGGCGGTTGCACTATTCTTCTAAGTTAATGACATCAATCAGTTAGAATTGTAACTACAATTATAGGGAAATAAATGTAGGGGGCCCAATTAATTTTTATGCAAGGGGAGAGGCATCTTTTTTTAGGTACACCAATGGACTAAACCTAGGTAAAATTGAGATATACTGGATTAGTCTGGATATTTTTGAATAATATACTTGCAAAAAAGTGAAACATATGAAAAGTTGTGTTGAAGATTTTATTTTGTGTGAGTGAGTTTAAAATATACTGTTTTGTTAAATCTTTAAGGTAGTTTTTAGTAAGATTGTGAGTTATATATCAGTAAATAACAAGTTTAGGCCAAAGATTAATGTAAACTGTGATTGCAATAAAGCTAAAAATAATATTTTTTAACTCAATGTAATATTTTATGTAGACCTGAAATTGATACACCTTCTCAATAAATATTGTAGAGTCACTGAAGTATTTCTTTTTCTGTTCTTAGGTTCTGTTTTATATATTTGTGATGGTTTGGAAGACTGAATTTTCACTTTTTTTTCATCATATGACAGTCACTGATGTGTTTTATGAAAGGTAATGGCAGTGACCCATCACAGATAAATACCAAAAGACATACATTTTATATTCTTGCATATCTGTTAATGAATCCTGTCACTCTCATAGTTTTATTAAAAAGATTTGATTCTAATTTACAGTTTCCTAGAAAATTTACTATTGACATTTTTTTGTTATGATTTTATACTTCTAAATATTTTTAAGAATTTGTAAGACTTTAAATAAACAAAAACTAATCATTTTAATGCACATGTAAGGTTATAAAAAACATTCCTTGCCTCTGTATTTCATTTCACTTTTTTCTGCATAGTAACTATTTGACAATCAGAATTTCAATTATATTTGCTGTGTTAAAATGTCTAGGCCTATCTGAACAATAATCATAGAACAAAAAATAATTTACTTTCTTTTAACTGGTATTATCATTTAAGTCTAGGTCTGTCTGAACCATAATCATAGAACAAAAAATAATTTACTTTCTTTTAACTGGTATTATCATTTAAGTCTAGGTCTGTCTGAACCATAATCATAGAACAAAAAAAATTTACTTTCTTTTAACTGGTATTATCATTTAAGTCTAGGTCTGTCTGAACCATAATCATAGAACAAAAAAAATTTACTTTCTTTAACTGGTTTGATGTGACTTACTTTTTATGAGTGATTTGTCCATTATAGAATTGTAGACAATTGTGAGAGAAACATAAGATCATTTAAAACATTGTCACTTGTATATGAGTATACATTTTTGCCTTAAATTTGTATAACATTACTATCTGTGTGATTTGACTGATACGTTAATCATGTGTCAGTGATTTTATTTTTGATGGTGACAACATATCTTTAAAACATTCATTTTTAAATGGCTGAAAAGTAATTCATTTCTATAGAATTTAAAAAAATCCATAATTTAAAAATGTTCTTAATATTGCTTTGTATAAAAAAAACTAACAAAAAATAATTTGAAATTCTATGGTGTAGTTGTTTTTGTGTTAACTCCCTGAATATGGGCTCTGTCATTTTGATCAACCTTGTAACCAAGAAACTATACATTCTATAACTGAATGTACTAATTATATTTTCATGAAATTTGGCAAGGTTTTAATAAACATTGCAGTACACAAAAAAAATCAGATTTTTTAATAAGGCATTTGTAATAAAGATTTGTCTGTGAATTTACAGCATCGATCTGATTAAGACTCTTGACTTTGACTAGTCTGAGTGGAAGGTGATTTTTCACATTAAAAATAAAAAAAAATTTATCTTATGGTTTCATATTTCACTTGCATAATCTCTAGAGCCACCTAAATGAAAATCAAAAGTTTTTAAATAAACTTTATCTCTTATTTTCTCTATCCTAACACTTTACTATACAGAAATCAACAGTGTAGGTAAAATGAAAAGTTAAAAAAAATCTAAGTTACCCTGTTTTTCTTTTTTAGAATGACTGCATATTGTAACAGACTATTGCATACTATTTATTCTTACATCCAAATCTAATTAGTTTTTCAAATCACCCCCAGGGGCACAGCAGTATGTCTGCGGACTTACAATGCTAGAAACTGGGTTTCGATACCCGTGGTGGTTAAGAGCACAGATGGCCCTTTGTGCAGCTTTGTGCTTAACTTTAAACAAACAAACAAACTTTTCAAATCTGGGTTCTTTTATTTTCATTGCTTACAGCTGCACTTAGACTCTCAGAATACACCAAAATCCATTTATCACAGCCAGAAAACTTTTTGTAAATAGACAATTGAGTTAAAAGCACACAATAGTCAAACTACAATCATACCTTGTGGTGTGTGCGCGTGCTATGACAAAGTATCACATATTTTTTTATTTAAGATTTATGTAACCTAATAAGTTTTCATTTTAGTTACTTTTACAATAAATTAAAAAAATATACATAAAAAAACAAGAAATTTAGTACTTCATGATTGGACTCTTGCCTTTTTGTTATCGGAAGATGAAGTGCAGTAAGCCTACTTTTTTGCAACAATGTTGGTGTACCAAAATATAGATATTTTTTATTTCGAATATGTCATCTAGAACACAAAATATTATTATGCACAAAAATAAAATGTCCTAAAATAACTATAATGCAATTGGCTTTCTAACTAACCTATAAACAGGATACAAAATTCTGTTAGCTGGTCGAGCTAAACACGACGAAGGTAAATGAAGAAACTGGGACCAAATATTTCCAAACCTGGTACCTGTTCAAACTAGCCTTATAATAAAGTTAGTAAAGCAGATTATATTTCTGTTTGCTATAAATAATCCAATAGCAAATTATTGACATTTTTTGAAAGACAGGGTGTGGTAGGAGAGGTTTGGTATGTGGGTATGACTTTCTTGTTTATACCTCAGTAAAGCGAGAAGGTTGGATGTTATAAAGTTGTATTATGACTTAGCAGTACTGAAAGAGTGTAATTTTTGCCAAATTGAAATTTATCTAGGATAGAAAGAAAACTTAAAATTTAGTGATGAAGTGTCACATGATAGAAAGAAATGAAGCTTGATAATTTATTGAAAAATATTTTTTATATAATATTAAGATTTAAATTAAAAAGTATGTTTTGGAGCCAGGTTTACTAACGTACCTTGGTAAGAAAGTTGTTTAAATTTTGAATGTAAATCTGTAAAAAAGGTCATAACATGTTCACTTTGACCCACCTATGGTCATAAGGTTAATGCATTATTTTGGGATCTCATATTTTTACTTTATTTTACCAAATTTCAAGGTTTATTTCTCTATGTGAACTGAATTTCCATTCATTATATACATGCACAAAAAACATGCTATAATTTTTTCAAATGTTAATGTTATTTGTATACAAAATTAATAGTATTTTTTCCTGGTCTTTTATGAGTCATGCCAAAAAGTAAGGAAAGAGAAAAGGGACTTTTATCATGTGACGATATATTACCTAAACTAGTGTATTGGAAATGTAGCTGGTGTAGATTCTGTTATTATACTTCATTAATCAAACACTTGTTTAGAAATAAGAGAACAAATTCTCTATGTTTGTGCAGAAAGCACATTCTGGTTCATCGTAATCATTCATTGTCACTTCATCTATTATTGCATCAAAGTTATGGTTAACTTGATGTAAATGGTTATTTTTTGTACTTAAAAACATTCAGTGGACCTGTATCTTGATGTGATGTATTAAACAAAGATTTATAGAAATATCCAAATTCAATCTCATGTTTTTATCTTTTCTCACTCAATACAGTTCAAAGTTATTTTTGATTCATTTTAACATTATTAAAGAGAAAAACCATGTACACATGAATGACCAATGTTCTGTGACAGATAATGTTATACTATTTTAAAAAGTTCTCACAATTAGGTTGAGTTTTTTTTTTCACTCATCACACATTCCCAGTCTCTATTGAAGTTGTCAAATATGTACAGCAGCGAATAAATACAGCAAATCAATAAAATAATGCTGAAATTAATGTGTTTAGTGTATTAACATTAGGATACCAAGTACTCTGTAGCTCCTGTGTGAGTATGGGCACAACCTTAATTTTTGCCTTGGGCACCATTTAAGTTGTTGTAGCCATGAGGATAGTGTACATACACACATTTCCTGTTAACTAAATAAGCTATGTTCTGTCCAAAA